AAAAAAGCCTTTTTAGTGTAGATGCTGCAGCTCTGGGCTTCCACCAGCCTCCACTAGATGGCAGCAGTGAGTGCGCTCTGTGCTGCTGGCTCTTTGTTTATAGGAGCCACTGAGGGGCCATGCCGCTCCACGGCTTTGTCCCTGACACGGATTAACTGTCTGACTGACAATAGCTGTGTCACTGACAGCCACGCACACACATGCAGATGGGAGGCAGAAACAAAAAAAACATATTTAATTTTTTCCTTTACCTCCCAGGTCGCCCCCCTGGCGCGTCGCTTCCTCCTCTCCGCTTATTATTAATGAGAGTAAGTCGGTGTGTTCGGAGGAGCGGAGGTCCACGGGCTCCTCTTCCATCACTGACCTGGCCCTAGATGCGGCTGTAGCTCGTCTTCCTCCCTCCTCCTCCTCCGCCTCCTCCTCCTCCTCCTCAGCGGCTCGAAGCGGCGGAGCGGGACATGTCAACATGTCACAGCAGGAGCGCGTTCCGCCGCGCGGCACCGTTCGACACGCATCTGGCTCGCGCTCATCGTTCTGGAGCCCGAGCTCTCCAGGGTTTCTCCCACGCGCCCCGCCGCGCGAGCCAACTTAACTTTTCATAGAATCGCTCGATCCGCGCGCGAAAAGAAAGTCAGCAAAGCTTCGGTCCAGCTGAGGCCTCCAGTCATGTATTTTAAGGTTCTTGCTTGTCTTCTGGGTGGGGAGCCGGACTAGGGGCCCCTGGGGCTCCTTAAGGGGCTCCTGGGTAAATTTAAAGAGACAGTAACAGTGTTGCCGACGCACACCCACCCCGGAGGGGGGGCAGAGCGAGCAGCAGGCGCTAATGCTGATAAGCTGCTGTTGTTGTTTCATAAACACGCGGTGGTTCCGATGCTGTTGTTCACGTTCAGTCACGTGGCGGCTCCATGGCACCCTGGGGCCCCTGAGCTCCACATCACAAACTGCGTAAAGGCAGCAGTCTGTTATTTTATTTCAATTCTATTGAATTCTGTTCATTTGTATAATGCAGAAGGAACAGATCTGGTTCATATTCATCTATATTAAAATTTAGAATCGAATCGATTTGGTTTTATTCCAATATATCCTATATATACAGCAGGGG